TTGTATATTTATACATGTACATCTATGTCAATTATTAACATAGAGAAACCTTAATTCAACAACATTAAATTTACGCAAAACAAAAAAAAACATTCGATTGAAATATGAATCATTATTTTTATATTCAACTATTTATAATACATTGAATATTCTAAAGACAGAAATAGAAGATAATATAAAATATGCATAGACATTTCATATATTAATCTATTTTATCATGCTATAATAACATGCAGTAAATTAAAAATAGGAAATTAGATAGATTGACATGTTTTCTTTTTTCTTTGCGTCTCAAAAAAAAAACTGAATTTATAAAACAACTTCTATTTATTTTACATTTATCAATCGTAATTTCTAATTCACCTATTTTATATATATATCAATGATAATAAACATGTCTATATTCAATAATAACTGTCATTTTAATTAAGAAAAACATTGATACATTCTATATATACTGATAAATTGATATTCAAATAAATCCGACAGCTAATTACACAAAGTTTACGTATCTGTCATTCATCTAATACAAATGATTACTACTTATTTGATAAGAATCATATATATAGAAAAACAAAAAAAATTTCTTTTATTTCCAATCCTAAGAATAACAATGTCAGTATCATGTTTATTTCTCTTTTTTTTTTGGTTCCAAATATAATAAAATGAAAAAAAAAAAACAAGAAATTTGAAACACACAGATAAGAAATATTCAAACAATATTAAATATTATTTTTTTTTTAAACAAAAAAAAAATGAATATCTATATATATATATGTCCTATTATTTTTTAATTAACACTCGATGTTGTTTCGAATGATGTCGAACACTAAAATAAATATATATATATATAATAAATAAAACAAATGAAATTAATTTACTTCATGAAGAAATCTATATATCTGATCTGTATAATTATGTGAAAGCCATGTTGTATTATGTTGACCATCAGAAAATATGATAAATTGTTTTTTCAAACTTGTACTTTCCTTAAAATAAATTTTATTAATTAGAATTTTCTTTTCGGGTAAATAAGTAAACGGTTAGTGTTATAATAAAAAATTAAATATTAATCTTATATAAATTTTTATATAATTTACGCTCGTAAATAATAGTAAATTAATGTTTGGTAGACGATGATTAATAAATATATTTTTATCGTATTGTACTAATCTGGAAATCGAGTATACGATCAATATATTACGCTTAACAAACACATCAATTTATAATTACAAATTATATAATTGAATTTACTTATTATAAAAATTTATCATTCATACATTTATCCGAAGATTTTATAGTTTTCGATACTATTTTTCAATTTAATTTATTATATTATTAAAACAAACCTCATGTAATTTTTGCATCATTTGTGATGGAACTAATTCATCTTGTGCACCGGATAGAAAGAGTATAGGTACTTTTATATGACGAATTTTTTTAATTGATGCAAACTATATTAAAAAAAAAAACAAAAGTAGAAATGAATAAAAATAATTTTTTTTCTATTTTAAATCATACCACATTTTTATAGCACCATGTTGGTATATAATCTAATAAAAAAAATTGAAATAATTTTTTAGCCATATCAGGTATTGATGTAAAAGTATTTTCAAGAATAATACAATATAATGGTAATGTTGTATTTGTTTCAGCAAGATGTGAAGCTATATAAAAAAAAAAATATATAAATAAGAATTTTAGATATTTAATTTTTTTTTTGTACCAAGATGTAATGCAACAGCACCACCAAGTGAACGACCGAAAAAAAAAATTTTTTCTTGATTAAGATCAGTACGTTTACGAACATAATCATAAACAGCTTGTGCATCTATATAAAGACCTGATTCAGATGGTCGACCAGTTGATTTTCCATAACCACGATAATCAAATAGAAGAATGTTAATATTACATGCTTGATAAAGTAAATGAGCATTTTGTAAACTAATTAAAAAAGAAAAATTAAATGATATTGAGACTATTGCCTTTTGTAAAAGATTAAAAAACAAAAAGAATAATCTCAAGTGAATATTTATATATACTAATTAGTTTAGGGCATCTCTTGATTTATTTGATTGAATATTCGTCAAATTTAATTTAAGAGTATGGTGCAGTCTGCAGTTGTATCTATCTAGTAAGGATGTTTTAGAATTAAAAAATTGTCTTTAAACATCAAAAAAATCAACTGACGAGAGAAGGTTCCCAACTAATTTAAGCCGTTTTCAATAATATTTTATCCATATATTGGGGTCATTATTCTAAGAAAAATCTTAAGAGGGTTTGGGCTGATGGTGCTGCCTGCGAAGGTTATGACCATTTTACTGATTTTTCGACATATAGCAAGGGGATTCGGACAGTTGCGCGCGGAGAGTTGCTCGACGGACGGTTGCTCGCTAGGACAGTTTCTCGATAGGACACTTGCTCGTGAATGACATGATCGCTTAATTTTCAGTATAATAATTCAAGACAAAATTGACTGAACTGATTAGTCTATATGTAGAGCACACTGACGGTCATTATCTCTGTAATGTTTAGTCGTATTCAATCATCATACTTATATAAAAGCGATCGAGCAAGTGTCCTATCGAGCAACTGTTCGGCGAGCAACTGTTCGGCGAGCAACTGCTTGCGCGCATCTGTCCGTCGAGCAAATGTCCTAAACCCATAGCAAGATGTTTACAAAAAAATCGAATCATGATATTTTGCCTATATGTAGGACTTATGGTCCTTAGTATACGCTAAAAGTTTCAGTGAAAAAGGATGTTTGATTCTTGAGATAATGAATTTACCATAAATATCCGCATTCCACAGAGATATCAGAAAAAATCGACTTTTTTTTGGATATTCATTATCTCGGGAGTGGAACATTCGTTTTCGCTGAAACTTTTAGTATATACTAAGGGCCATGAGTCCTACATATGGGCAAAATTGCATGATTCAATTTTTTTGTAAATATCTTGCTATATGTCGAAAAATCAGTAAAATGGCCATAACCTTCAAAGGAAACACCATCAGCCCAAACTCTCTTAGGATTTTTCTTAACATAATAACCCCAATATATGAACAAAATATTATGAAAAACGATGTAAATTAGTTGAAGGCCTTCCCTCGTGAGCAAAAACTGTACATTGTTTTGCATTTTTCTCAAACCAACTTTTTCATGGAAAAAAAGTATAGAAGTGCCTTGGTTTATGCAACCTAGCACATCCGATCAAGTTAAAAGTGTTCTCACATATATTATACGTATTCTTTTTTTGGTTTTAAAAAATATTGTTCTGTTGATTTTTGGTAGTTTTTCCCAAAAAGAAAAGATGCATTTTTTAGGATACGATTTTTTCGATTCAAATAACAAAAAGATATCCACTTCAAAGAATGTTTAATGTATGTCAAAAATAAGTTTTCAGCTTGATCAAGCATAACATCTCGGAGAAACTAGAGAGAGCGCATTGATCGCCGTTGTAATTTTATTATTGCATAGAAAGACTTTTTTACATAAAGAAATAGACTCTTAGACGGAAGAAATACTTCATAGAACAAATCTTGACATGTTTCAGGTATGTTTTCTTCAATAATGAATGCGTTATTTTTTGATAAAAACATTTTTGAATTCTTAGAAACAAATGTGGAAAGGTTAAGAGATCTTTTAATTAAAATACAATAGGACTTTATTGAATACGCGTCTATTTTTAGAAACATCTCTCCATCATGTGTGACTTTCATACAAAGGTATACTGTGTCAATTAAGGTTGAGAATACTTTTGTTTTCGTATAGAGACACTTAAAGAATTTTTTTAGAGTATGCTACAAAAAATTTCTAATGTAATTTTATTTTCAAGAGACTGTTCCTTAACACATCGCTATTATAACGGAAACGAACTATTTTTTTTTTGTTATCATTTCAGATTATATTTTTGTGTATGATTGTTTATCTTGACTTTTGAAATCAAAAATTATAGATATCAAACTGCAGAATTTATAATAAAGGTCAACATTTTTAACTATTAATTAAATCAATCTGAAATGGTTTTCAATATCCTAAATAATTTCCTATATAAATTTGACTTTAAAAATCTTCAATTCATTTCATACCGATGTCCAATATTTCCTGCATTTCCATGAAAAAAAATTAATGTTTCACATTGATCTGAATGATTATTTTGTTTTATTAAATATCCATGTAGTTTTTCATTATCCGATGTTTCAATTATTATTATTTCATATGGTAATTGATATATTTCTGGTGTTAAAACAATTGTTCGTGCTGTATCTGGTTCATTTGGTTGATAAAGTAATGCATCTTGTAAACCATAAAGTGAAACTAAACGTAAAATAAAATAAATTTAATCAATTCGATTTTATTTAATATTTTTTTTTTGTCAAGCATAAAGAATAATTATGTATAAAAAAAAAATTATATTACATACTTATTTATTATTGAGCATCGATAAAAAAAACAGTTTACCGACTGCATGAAATTTAGAAAAGAAAAAAAAAAAAGAAAGAAAATTTACAAATCACATACATATCATACGAATCTACTTTAATCTTTTTTTTTTATATATGAAAAAAAAATCGAAAAATATACTTACAAAGTATTCCACATAGAATAAATATAATTAATATAAAATTTCCAAATAATTGATAAAAAAGATAAAGTAAAAATAATGATAAACCAAATGTTAATAATATTTCATGAATAATTTTAAATAATATTAATTTATTATTATTAATTAATACTGAATTTGTTAATAATGAATATTTTTTTCTTAAAAAACTTTGATTTAATGATCTATAAATTGATGACATACATCTTGAAAACATTATTAATAATGAACAATAATGATATTTATTTTTAATACGTATCGACATAGATCAAAGAACAAAACCATCAAAAACAGTTTTTTTTTTTGTTTATTTTTAATAAGAATTATATATTCATCTAGAAGAATGAAAAAAAAAACTAAATATACACAATTAAATTCTTTTTATTTTTATTTAAATTAAATGCGTTGTGTTCTTTCTGGTATTAATGATGAGAAAAATGTTAGTATAGCTGTTAACCATAGACGTCTTGTTGTGATTTGATTTTCAACAACAGGTTCAGTTTGACGAAACTAAACAGATATAATAAAAAAAATACAATTAGATCTCGTTCCAGGTCAAAAAAAACAAACAGTATGACCTTGATATCAGTCAAAAAAAGAACAATCTGGTATTGCTTCCAGTCAAAAGAAAAAAGATAACCGAGTACGACCCTATTGGGACAAAAATCAATCTAATTCCGACCTTAGTCAAGAAAATACTTTCATTTTGTCTATATCTTCATTTTCAACAGAATCCGAATGTTATGGGTAAAAGATAGTAAGTAAAATTCTATTTTAGAAATATGAGAATAATATATATTTATTATTTTAATTTATAAACGTTACTTGTTGTTGTTGATGATGATTAGAATTTTGTATTTGTTCGATATTTATTTGTTCATTAATAGGTTGTATTTGTTGTCGTTGTTGAATAGATAAATAATCACTATAATATCTAATTAAATATAAGAATAATATAATATTAATTTTTTTTGTTTATTAAACTTACAAATATAATAATATAAAAATAATAAATAGAAAAAGAAAAAAATTTAATGATGAATGAATATAAAAAATTAAACAAAATAGAATAAGTTCAATGACAATAAGTAATATTCTTAATTGATTATTTTCTTGACGAAATTCATTAGAATTCACAGTTGATGGTGATGAAACAGTTATTGATTGATTAGTTATATATGGTGTAGAATTAATTTGTGTTATAGATCTTTGATGAACTAGATAATTTTGACTAAATCAAAAAATAATATATTTGTTGTTTATTTTCGTTATTCTTACTATATTTGAGAAGATGTATAATTATAGTGTAAATAAGTTTGTGTTATTGATGAAATTTGATTAAGATTCATTATAAATCTAATAGAAGAAATAATTTTTTTAATCGAAAAAAAAAAACCAAATTTCATTTACTGTTGAAGTTGTTGTTGATATTTATTTAATTCATTTATATATTGATCATAGGCAAATGAATGTAAAGATATATTTGATGTTTCTTCGATGGTTGACTGTTTTGAATTGAACAAAAATTAAAATAAAAAAACAAAAAAATATGTTTATTAACAAAAAAACAAAATTATCTTACGATTTCATTTTGATCAGAATATAGTACAAGATGAATCATAGATTTTGATTCAGATTCTGACTAAAAAAAAAAACAATAGAAATATTAAAATATTCTACTTCTTCTTTATCATTAACAGTATGAAACCATATGAGAAAAAAAATATATATAATGTATTTTTCTTGGTTACAAGTTTGAAAGAATAATTTCCTTTTTTTTTTTTTGGTTCTTTCAATTTGACTAGAGAAGAAAAAAAAAGGTGAGAAATATATTTTTTTTATGATAATATTAACATAAGAAAGAAATCAGCGAGTAAAATCATTACGAACTGGTCAAAAAAAATGAAAGCCATAAATTATCTACATCGTCATTGGATTATAATATATATGAAACAAACAAAAATAAATGACTATTTTTCTAAGATAGCTTAGAAAAAAATCAATCAAACACGTTCAAATAGATCTAATTTGTTCATAATCAGGTATGAATTACATTAATATGATGATAATAATAATATTATCGATTTATTAGAATATCTAACTGTCGAATGGAAAAAAAAAGAAAGAAATTTCAATTTTGAGGTCCCTATGAAATCTTTGAGTTAAAAGTTTTAAATGTATGTTGTTTCTTCCAGACTCGAGTTCACCAAAAAAGTACACTCGCAACTCTTTATATTGACTGCACAGAATATATATTTTTGTTTACATAAATACAACGAAAACTATTTCATGCAGTTAGACAATTTTTTCAATTAAGAAAGAAAAAATTTTTTTTTATTAAGTATCAAGTAATGGGTAAGTGAATAACAAAAAAAGTAAACTGTATGTTGAGTTTTTTTTTTCTTGAGAGTTGTGATTGAAAAAAAAATCATGTTTAGGTACGCAGATTTTTTTTATTTGGTTCAGGTTCACAAAGATGTAAATCCATAGGCTCCCTACTGTCAAATATAATCGAACAGAAAAACAAATAATCTGATGAACAAGTTGACAAGGATATGTCAAGTCTTGTCATATTATGACAAAATAAATATAAATCGTGGATTAATAAGTAAATCCATAATGATTTATGTTATATAATAATAAAAATTAATTAGAAAGGTGAATAATAACTTAACGAAGTAGATATACAAACTAAATAAAATCATATATGAACAACATGTACACTTCATTGTATATTTCTAAGAACTTAATCATTCCAATATCTTCCTGATTTGAACTAATTAACCTTGAGTTAACAAACTACTCATAGTCTTTCATGAGTCACATGAAAATGATATCTGTAACCTTGTAAGAGTGATACATGGTAATTTTTACGACTAATCGAAAATGTGTTTCGCATGAGTGCTAAAATTTTCAGGTTAATGATTCATACTATGTACATGAATACCCCTCAGATATCTTTGCATATCAGACCTTGAATATTATTTTGAAAAATTTCATAGCTAGTACGATTTAATCAAATTATACAGTTTTTTCTCATGCGAATGTTTTAATGAAATTGTGATGATTTCAATAAACTGTTGAAAATTTTAATTTTATCATTTTTCTTTTATAGTTTCTACAAAACAAAATAATTTATACGATGATTAAAAGAAAAAATATAACTTTAATTAATACATGTAATGATTATTTTACTTTATTAAATATATCATTAAGTATATTTTTATCAATAAGTAATTTTCCCAAGTAAATCAAATGTTGATTTTGAGGATTCTATCAAAAAAAAAAAATAAAATAAATTGAAAATTAAAATATAAAGATAAAATTATTATTCTTACTGGTTTATTTGGATGATTTAATGTTATTTTTTGTTTCAGATCATAAACAGTTAATGATGCTGAAATTTCAATTGAAAAATCAGCACATTGATTATTCGTTGTACGAATAATTAATTGAATTAGTTCATTAACTATGACCATTTTTTTTTTAAAAAAAAATAAAATTATTTATCTGACTGTAATGGGCAAAGAAAACATCCACTTATTATTTGTCAGGTGTGTTTGAGTATTCCTATTGATAAAATATATCTCCAATGATAAAAATAAAAAGAGGTCGTTCATATCGTTAACAATGAATCATTTGATTTGATAAATGCTTGTCTATTGTATTGTTATTTTCTCGAATATTTATTTCCTCTCTTAATAATTTCTTCTCGATAAAATCAATAAAAATAAAAATAGAAACAAAACAATTATTTTATTATTAAACTATAGATCATCTTTTATCTATTTTTCGTTTTGTTCTTTTCATCTATGTTTTTTTTTTTTTCTTTGACAAATATCACTTAGGAACAAAAAAAAAAAAGAAGCAGAGAACATCGTGACACTGAAAACGAATAACAAAAAAAAATTTCTCTTTACTTCGTTTTATTTTTATTTCTACTTAATATTATAAAAGGAAATTATCGTACGAAGTGACTTAAAGCAAAAAATAAAACCTTCTATCATCTATTGTATAAAATCTTTAGTTTATTATTTTCTTTTTGAAGAATAATAATTAATAAAATATAATATATGTCATAATGACCTTTTGTTTTTTTTTTTGTATTTATATGATAACTAATCCAATGAATCGAATGCGTCAAATTGTGAGTAAAAAAAAACGACGTTATCAACAGGATGGTTTTGATCTTGATTTAACTTGTACGTATAAAAAAACAAAATATGTATTTAAAATAAAAAAAAAGCAATTTTTTTTGTATTTAGATATTCGTCCGAATGTTATTGCAATGGGTTATCCAGCTGATAGTTATGAAGGTGTCTATAGAAATAATATTGGTGATGTTAGTCGGTAAGAAACATTTTTTTTTTGTTTTGGAAAATTAGTTTTTTTGTTCTTTTTCAAAAGATTTTTATCATCAAAACATGGAGATAAATTTTATATATATAATTTGTAAGTTAAATAAGAAAATTTTGTATTTCTTATAAAGTTTATTTTTTTTTTTAGATGTGTGGAAAGTGAAAGACAATATGATTATTCACGATTTAATAATAATGTTTGTTCAGAGTTTAGTTTTGAAGATCATAATCCACCAACAATTAAAATGATATTAGCTTTTTGTCAACATGCTGAAAAACAATTAAAAGAAATGGCTGATAGAACACTTGTTATACATTGTAAAGCAGGAAAAGTAAATTATTTTTGTTAAAAATATATAGATTTTTCAATTAATCTAAAATGTTTGTCTTTCTTTATTTTTTTTCCTATATTAAAAATTAGTATTATATAAAATAAGATAATTATTTTTATTAAGAAGATCAATTTAGATTAAAAAAACGTTTCTATTGAGAATTTTTGTATAAAGATAAGAGATATTGGTTATATAGTTTTGAAGTTTATATTATGAATGATGATCAAAAATTCAAATGTAGATTTGTGTTTTTTTTTTCGATATACTTTGAACAAAATTAAGTAAAAAAAAATTTTGTCTTCATTTTTAAAAAAGTTCAATTTTATCTATTGATATTAAATATCATAGAAGTTTTTTTTTTGTTTTAGGGTCGTACAGGTGTAATGTCTTGTTGTTTACTATTGTATTATTATCGACAAGAACATAATGATCCAATAGATACATTAAAATTTTATGCTCAACAACGAACGTCGAATGAAAAAGTAATTAATATTCTTATATATTTATTAATAATTATAAAAGAAAATTATTTATTTAAGGGCGTTACTATACCTAGTCAACGTCGTTATGTAGAATATTTTGGTCATTTATTAAATAGTCGAGTAATGTACATACCTAAACAAATACTTTTCACCGGTTTATTAATAACATATGAACAAAATCAAGTTCTTCATTCATGTTTGTTTGTTTTTTTTACAGATTAAAAACTAAATATTAATGTTCCCCCCCTTTTGTTTTTGTATATTTAGGTCTTTCTTATACAGTTAAATCAGCTGATCATCGTATACAATATCAATCATTTGAAATTCCACTTGAACGTGATTCAACAATACGACGAGATTTACCACCAAATTATTCAGTATTACATGCATCACATAAACATTTTATTCCACCATCAAATCAACAATGTCGTATACCATTAGAAGAAGATGTTTTAATTGAAATATTTGTAACAAAAACAAAACGAGGAAAACCAGTAATAAAATTTTTTCTATTAAATAAAAATTTAATATCTTTTTTTTTTTGTTTTGTAGGAAAAATTATGTCATTTTTGGTTTAATACATTTTTTCTTGTTGAACCAAAAATGCAAACAATATTAAGTAATGTTAGTGAAAAACAATCAGAAAGTAAATTAGGTACACTTAGTTCATGTTTAATACCTGAATGTGGACATAAACATTTATATACAATGACTAAAACTGATATTGATGGTTTACATAAAGATAAATTTCATCGTTTAGCACCATCATCATTTACAGTAAGTTAAATTATTATTTTTTTTTTATTAATTTATATATTTAGAATAATTTTATAAGAAAAAAAGCTTTTATCGAAAATATAATTAAATTATTCAATTATAAATAAGAACTTTTTAATTCTATCTAATATTTTAATAGATCTAGAGTAATGCAGCCTATTTTGTTTTTCTTGTGTTCTTATGAAATATAATCTTGTTTACTATAATCAAATTTTCAGTCTTTTAATAATTTAAGAGAAAGTTTTGCTTTTATGCCACTATTCATTGTAATAATTGATAAAAATATATGACCTAGATATTCTAATATCTATTCATTCACTATTAATTATTAAAAAAAAAGCTTTTGTTTCATATTATATGATAAAATATTATCAATAGAAACATCAAGATATTAACATTTCGTATATTACAAAATATTTTGTCCTCTAGAGGAACATAACAAAAAACTAAAAGTCCATTATGATAAGAAAGGACAAAATAACATTTTTTTTTTTTTAAGGTATCTGTTTTATTTGATTATATTCCAACAACATCATCATTACCTTCACTAACAATTCAATCGGATCAAATATTAGAAAAACAACCATCTATTAATTTAAAATTAATTGAAACAAATAATGATTCAACATTTATAATTGATAAAAATCAATTAAAACAATATAATGAAACAAATGATAAATTAAATAAAACTAATCTTGATTCAAATTATAATAATAATAATAAAAATCGTCATCATAGTCGTTCATCATCATCATCAACAAATAATCGACGTGCATTTGCATTATATCCAAATTGTTTATCAGATTGGGATAGTACAGATTCTGAATCAGGTACAAATGAAACAAATATTAATGATGAACTTGATATATGTCAAACTCGTTGTTAATATTAGTTTTTTTATTTATTTATAATAGCAATGCACATAGAAAAAAAAAGAAAAATCTCATTGTATGAGTCTGTTTAAAATGTTTTTTTTTTTTTGTGCTTTAATTCTCTTTGTTTTATAAAAGAAATCGAAATATATAAGTTGAACAGTTTATCGTTTGTTTTATAATGTGTTACTCGTCATATTTGTTTTTGTTTTTTTTTCCATTGAATTGTTAATCAATGTGTAACTATATTTTTTTCTTCTGACTATTGATAAAAAAATCTTCGTTTCTATTGTTGTTTTTTTTTTTTTTTTGGCTTCTTTTATATACCCTCCCTTGCCTGTTAGATCGTTTTTCTTTTTTTTATAAGAAACAAGGAAAAAGAAAAAAAAAGCAAACTAAGTTTCATTAATTGATTGTTATTTTATTTGAACAAGAGAAAAAGAAAAAAAAATGAATCATAATTTGTCTTTCGTTTTTAAGAAGATATATTCAACGTTTTTTTTTATTTTCTTGAAATCATTTGAAAAAAGGCCCTCCCCCTTCCAATTAAAAACATGTTTTTGTAATAAATCACTCAGAACAAAAAAAAAAAGGAATGAAGACTCTTGAGTTAATCCACCACTTTTTCTTTTTTCTTCTTCTGAAGTCTTTTATTAATAATCAAGAAAACGAATAGTATAATACGAATGGCTATTATCATTTTTTTTTGTCACCTGTGTCTATCATCAGATTCAATGGACTCGTTTTTTTTTTTCGTTTATTGGCATAGACTCGACTTTTTTTTTCTTACCATACACTGGTACGCATATATTTAATAATATTCTTTGCGCTACCATTTAATAGTTTCTACTGTTATTGCCTTTTTTTTTTTTTACTCGATTGAGTGTTGGCGACAAGCAAAAAGCATACATCCATCGTTGTGTGTGTATTTGTGTTTGTGTGTGCTTTGCGTCAGTCGTCGCTCTGTTACTGAAGTGAAAAGGAAGGAAAAGGAAATTGGTCTTTCATTCTCTCTTCATCCACCATCCTCTTTTTCGCTTATAGTAGATCATTATTAATATCATACATATAGAACATAATAGAAAAGCATACAAGGATTTTTTTTTTGCAAAAACAAACGAGCTAAACCATTAATTCTAGCATTCATCGAGTTTAAAGATGCTGTTTGTAGATTGAGGTAACGTCATGCACAATATAAAGCAGTAGAAAAAAGACGAAGAATGAGAAGAGAAGAGAAAAAAAACAACAAGGCGTACGGAAAAAAACGAGATAGAAAAGAAAAAAAAATACATGTAAATATATATATATAAGCGTTCTAGTCTAATATTCTAAATATATATATTTTGTTGTTGTGTTGAGCATTTACAATCATAATTCTGTCATATGACAGATGGTTACTTGAATTTTTTATTCCCGAACATTTTTAATATTCACATGATTTCTTTTTTTTTGTTTTTTATACTTCTTCTTCTTTCTAATCATTAGGATCACAGATATTTCTCGTGAGAATGACGTGATGCCGTTTTTTTTTTTTTTTTATTAATAACATACATTAAGAAAAGTTTTCTCTTTTCAGATTTCTTTTTTCTTATTCTTCTTTTTTTTTTTTTTTTTCTCTTCGTCTTTTTTTTCCATTATGTTATAACTACATATATTCG